CTGAATTCCTTATGTTTTGTTAAAGGAAAACGGAAATTTTTCTTTATTACTGTTTTATTTATACCATTTCCAGGATGTGCGTGTGTGTGTGTGTGCATGTCGTTAGCATTAGAGCTTTTTTTCAAACAATACTCACTTACTCTCATACCTAACCTTATTGATACGATTGCAAGCGTTGTAATAGCGTACGTAAATGTATATAAAGGTATACTAAGCACAGAGGTGCGCTGGTGATGGTAATATTGAAATGAAATTTATTGTTTTCAATTGAGTACAAACGGTACGCAATACTATGTTATTGATACATGTAATAACGTTGCACAGTAAACGTTACGAATAGGTTGTGTGCGGAGTAGAATCTTAAGGTTTTGCTATCAACAAACAACCAATTCCATTTATAAGAAGTCGTACGTTATAATGTACACACATATAGATATATGTGCGTGTGTGTGTGTTTGTGTGTGTGGATATGTGAGTTTTATAAACAGGTCACATTACTTAAATTGACTACGCAAACGAAAGTATATTATTGCTTTGTTTCTCACTCCAATTCACTTCAGTTCATTCAGACATTAATTCATCCCTGATGTTGGGTTTGTTGTTATGTGCAACATATTATGTTTCACAACATTGTCTATAAATCAAAAGCAACACAACACGTACCCACAAGCAAGCAATATCGACAATCATTGTTTTATGGTACTCTTTATAATTGCATATATAAATATATATATATATATATATATATATATGTATATATGCGCACATATATATATAACTTATTTTCAATGTTACCATATGTATTATATATAATTGTATGATTACTTATACAAGTGTATAGAATAGTATGTATTTATGTGTGTGTGTGTGTGTGTGTGTGTAAGTGCCTGTGCGTCTATGTATGTGCATGCATCCATATATATATATCATCAAATATTGAACATTAATAATCTTATTATTAGAAAATATGAAATTGAATAAATGGCAGTGCGTTAAAAACATCGAACAATAAATAATTAGATGGTGTACGTTTGCGGTTATACAATGGCTACGTTTGATAAATCACCTGCAGGGGAAGTAAATGTAATAATGAAGTTATTTGTTTTTTAAAATTATATAATACTTCGAGTCAACTTAAAATGTGCAAATTTAATCAGGACGAGAAGGAAAAAAAAAAACAAAATAAATAAATAAATAAATACATAAAAGTTTTACTCAGATACGGTTAACATTAAACTGAACCTTAATGGAGAATATTTGTCTGACCGTTTGCGAGGATATATATATTTTACTAGCATGACACACGCTATTATACTTTGACCAAAGTTTTTTAATTTTTTTTTCTTTTTTTTCATTTTTTTAAAGAGTAAAACCCCAACAACACATTTAACATAGATATGAATACAAAAACGAGTGGTTTATGGAAAATTAACTTTTTTTCTTTTTTTTTTTTAACTCCATAGAAATGTTGTTCATTTTACCAGCTGCAGATTTCTCTCTGTTATTACATGGCATAAACGCGATTACATATCTACACTGAGTTGAAGAAGTGAACGTACAAATTAATAGGAAAATTCTATGAAGAATTAGTGAACTATAAAAATGTAACAAGAAATAGGAAAGAAGAAGAATTTTGCAAAATGTTGGCGATAACAAGAAGCAATGGTAAAAGTATAAGCGGTTTAGTGTTAATAATGAGCCTAATAATAAAGAAGGAAAGAAAGAAGAGCAGAAAAGAGTAGGAGAGAGGGAGACAGGTAAAGAGAGAGAGAGAGAGAGAGAGCACGCGTGGGAATGTGTGATAGAGTGTGATAGAGAAAGCAAGATATGATAAAAGAATTTGTTGAATTTCAAAAAAACTTAAAGTCTATCATCATTTCACAAAATCGTCTGAAGGCCAATAGCTTTTGTTAAGAACTGAATATTGCTCTCATTATTTATAATTTGTAACATTATATAGCGGTTACGTCGATAGTATATTTAATCGCTTTAGTATGGTCAAATATTTCATTGTCCGTGGGGCCATATAGTCCGGAATCGAGTCTTTGAATATGATTAAGGATTTGGCTTTCGCAAAGATTTCCACTCTTCCCTACCCACAATTATTTATATGCTTCAATAAATGATAACAGCTAACTTGCAAGCGTTTACGGCATAAGCAGTTTTTTTTATATTAAACTGCAGTTTATTTAGACGCTTGCGTCGGTTTTGAAATTTAAAAATATTCTCTTTATCTTTTATCTGCGTGTTTAGTGTCTGACTACTATTATCTGGTAGCGCAACATTTCAAGAGTACTCTTACTACTACGTTATCGCATTCTTCTCAAAACCCGATTTTTCAAGTTGCTCGACGAGGCCCAAAACCGTTCAAAATTCAAAACTCAGTTTTTTTTTTTTCATTCTTGGATTCCGTAATTAATCTAGGAATATAAACAGATGTTGAATTCCGATAAAGCTGTTAACAACTATCCTGAGAAAGGCGAGCATATATTTTCGTAAGTGGTCCTCAGAAACCATATCTCATCCGCTAAATTCTTTTTGATTCAAATGAAAGCTTTCTTCTCACATTTTTTAAAATCCTAGGACTTTAAGGGTTTTCCTCGTCTAATCAGTTGAAAGAAAGAACCCGGAATATAAAAGAGACTTGGGAATATAGTTCGCAGTTACTTAGTTGCTCAGTTCAAGGAGCAAGATGGAACTCTTTTTTGCTAATATCCCCCTCCCACGTAAGGATCTTATTCTGTTCTGTCGTTAATGATGACTTCCCAAAAAAAGGAAACAAAAGAGGAGTAAATTTTTAATCCCAGTTATCTGCGCTAAGCATGAAAAAAATCCAATCGGTTTTCTTACTAATCTGATTTACATAGCTCTTAAATCATTGGAACCATAATAAACATTTCTCTTTCTACATGACCAGCCACAATGAACTACGCAAAAGAAAAAGATTAAGAAGCATTAGTAGGTAATAAATGATGAGTAATGCTTGTAAGAAAATGGAAAAGAAACGTTTCTTTTGCCGCTTTTTTCAATGCGGTGTGCTTGGTAAGGGCCCAGTGTTTATGCAGTGCAGCTATTTACAAAATTTGTTATGTTCTCTTTTTTTTTAACTTTCTGTCTAATGTGTTAGTATTGTTAGTATCTGCAACAATGCAGAATGGACAGACAGACGGACATATAAACTTTGTGATATGCCTTACAAATATTTTTTAATTGATCGTAACTAATGACAATACGTTGCTATCTTTGAAACTATAAGGAATGTACACTGATAATTGGACTCGGATCTCACCTTATAGTTCTTAATCTCTTTTTATTGGTATTAATAAATTTGTGCATATGATTTTTTTCTTTGCTGAATCGATATCTAAGCCTATATAACTTTCTTGGTAAACAAGTAATACCTGACAAGTTATATTTCGCCTAAAATTGAAGAATGAATTGGTGAACGATTGTTGTCAGAGTCATCAGCTTATGTCAAAGTAACGAAAATGTATGCACGTTTTTATAATATTTTGTATACAGACTTATACGTTTTCATGTAACTGTATTAAAACAAGTTAATATGTATCTATATATGTATTTACATAAACGTACGCATTCACATTTAAGTATCCATAGATATACAACTATATCCCTTTGACCATGTAACAGAGACTGCCTAACACACAACATGTTGCAAAAATCTAAATTTGCATATCCACGAGGCATATACAATACATGCTGTAAAATTTACGTCTATGTCCAATTGCATGTATGTACGTAAATGTACACTCGACTATTTTGAAAGGGAACACATGTAATTTAAAATATACATAAAAGTTAAAAGGTGTAACAATAAATAGGGTGCAGGGAGATACGGAAAGAGAGTGACAGAGAAAGACAAAGAGAGAGAGAGAGAGAGAGAGAGAGAGAAGGAAGAATAAAAAAGAGAGAAAGAAAGGAAAAACTTGAAAAAATAATCAAGAATAACCGCCAACATCAGCAGCCACATTAAACCAGCTAACCCGTCTAGTAACCACGTTTAAAAGCTTTAGTTAGGATTTTTTATTTTTTTTTTATTTTTTTTTTTTTCATTTTTTTATTTTTTATTTTATGTTTTAAAATTAGAGCTTATGTGTTAGTGGTGTTGAATTAAACGGCGAAATGTAAACTGAGTGGAAAATTAGAGTCTTCTGCAGGCGAGAATTTAACCAACCAACACAAATGCAAAAACTAGACACTACATAAGTGCATCTATGTAGGGTAAGTGTTAAATTAAAATGAATTTAGTTTAACAACTTGCATTTAAATATCTATGTTTGTTTAAGTATGTGTAAATTTTGCCGAAGAGAAAACTGCAATGCAAATGTAGATAGAGCCTTAACAAGACTATAAAAACGCATTGGACGCACTACTAGAATATGAATAAAGTTACGCTAAAAAAAAAAAAAAGGAAAAAAAACAGAAAAAAAAAAAATTTGAATTTTTTTCCATCTTACAAGGGACCCCAGAGTCGCCTAGAACTTTGGATAGAATAAAACCGTAACTTTATTATTACGTTATATATGCAAACCGGAAAATTTCTACACTTTTGAATACCTTCACGTTTACTTAAGTATGTGTCATGTGCCTTTTTCCTTTTTTCTATTTGTTTTCTGTTTTTTTTTTTTTTTTTTTTTTTTTGTTGTTGCTTTTGTTTCGTTTCACATTTTCGCAAAACTTCTCTGGATGCCTGGCATTTAAGAATGACAGCCACATCCAATTAAATTCCACTTGTAATTTTGTGCTACACAGAATTTTTACACTTCAGTAACATGCGCTGCGTTATTTGCCATTTTTGTCTTTCATTTTTTATTTATATATCCATGCATATATCCGGGGGAGTATGCGTATCTATGTACATATATACATATATACATATGTGTGTGGGTGTGTGTGTCATGTTTGCGAATATTTGTTATTCTATTCTTTGCATTTAGGTGCGTAGTGTTTTTAAGTTGCCATCATCATGAGAACTTTACCTGTAGAGTGGTTTACCAGCACTTTCCCGAAACCACAGAACCATATAGACTCTGTCATCCTTGGCTTCCGGTTCGATGTCACACGGCAATGTGGCAGTGCGACCCAATACCGCTTCAATTGCCACCGTTGAAACTGCAATAAACAGAAGAGAACAGAGATATGTCTTCATACGGTATCCTTATGCATGTAACATACACATATATATATATATATACATATATATATATATATATATATATAAACAAATGAAAACAAATTTCTACGAATATATGTACAAACATATATATATATATTATTTTTATATTCCTTTCCAAGCAGTGAATGGATGTATTCACCCAAAGTGCTTCAATTAAAATGGTATTTGAATAGAAAGTAAATGTTTTGCGTATACATAACATTAATACGATACAATGCCTTTTTCTCATCTATATTAAGGCTCTCAATAGTATACTTTCCTTAAAAGCAATTCATTTCAAATAAATTTCCATTATATAAGCGGCTTTAAAAGATTCGGAAAAAGCACTTTCTGCAAGTAATCAATTCTATATTTTATAAATGGTATCGAACATTAACCCTTTTGCGACGGCACTGAAGTAGCTTAGTTCGCCGCCTCCTACGACGACGACGCAACTGAACCACACTTGGCCAATAAGATACGCCTGCAATGTACAAAACACAATAAGAGTATGTTGTTGTATATTTACGATACGAGTCGATGCGATGCGTCAAGTAACTGTCGTCTATATGCGGCACACGTCGGCAATGTATTGAGGATGAAAGTGGAGAATGTATTTGTTATTGAAAGTAAGGTAAACTAATAAGTTCATCGTTTCCCACAAGGAACGAGGAAGGAAAGAATTAAAATTTGTTTTGGTGACCCATGATTTTCAGAAGCATAAGCTTATTCCGAGGTGTCCAACCAGTCCTGATGCCATATAATTTGATGGAATTTTTCCACTTAGTATGGGGCAGTTTTTCTACTTTTTTGGCGCAGGCTGTTCTTCCGAATTTCTGGGCCGAATCTCTCTCTCTAATCGTAAGCTTTTCAGAGCGAAATCCTATAGCATTTATTTTTTATGCATCCAATTTACGCTACAACATTCAACAGGAATGATAGGAGATATTTCCATTATCGGGGAATATCATGCCTACGTGACAGAGTCTCCCCAGCGACAAGTGTCCATCGTGGAGGCACTTAAACATCAACAAATTTAATATGAAAAAGAAGTGACTTCTGATTACTTCTTCTGATGTTAAGCTCTTAAGGAGCATAAATTTTCGTTCACGAACCCTGAACTGAAGAGTACTTTCGTCTTTGCAACAGTGAACTGCAAAATGTCTTTATATTTTTCTCGTGTCTTCAATCAAGCCAAGAAGCTAAAAAAAACGATCTACTGTTCTACTCTGCTCTTATGTCCTGATATTCCTTTTTTCAATTCTTATGGAAATTCATGTTGAAGAAAAGATTGTTGCAATTAAGAGAATATTACTGTAATTGTTACTTATTTACATACATAAATGTCTTTGCAACGCAATGCTCGAAATGCTTCGCATTAATATGTAAAAGCAGAGAGACATGAAATGAAGACTAAATTGTCAGTAACTTTCTTTTCTTCTCATTCTTTGAAATTGAACTTAATCTGTCAACACACGTTAATGCTTTTAGCAAAGCATGTGAAAATCTATTTATAAATAAAATATTAATACAAAAAAAAAAAAAAAACAAAAACAAAAATTGCCCACTTCTAAGAAATGTCTTCATTTCCCAGGTCGATATAGTTCGCACAAGCATTAACCTCTTAAAGTCAAATAAATGGACATACATACATATCAACACATATATAAGTATATACATATAATGATCTTTATAAATATGTATGTGAGTGAAAATATTAATCTAGAATTGATGATTATTTTCCAGCAGTTTATCCTCAACATTAAAATTGCCACTTTATGTCATCGCCAGCCTGAACGAAGCAGCACCCAAACACATAACGACAGATATGCGTATTGCATTTTGTAGCGAAACAAAAAAAAAAGAAAAAATAGAAGGAAAACTGTACGATAACTATACTAATGTGCAATTTAGAAATGCAAAGAGTAAAAGTCAAGTAAAACCGAATTACATACAAAGCTAAAATAGGATAGGATAGAATATCAAAGACGAAAGGATCGAGACAAAACAAACAAATCGTATATAAAACGGTACATACATACATACGTATGTATACCCAAGCTGGTTCGAAAGGATAACCACAAAGACAAACATCAACGAATAATGAACAACAACATACTGTACAATGGGGTAATGGCAACAAGAGTAACAACAACAAAAACAACAACAAAGTCACAATACACACCAAATATTAAACAACAGCAGTAGCTACGACAACAATCCGGCTGCACAAAGGATATAAAGGAGAAAAAATATACAGAAAAAAAAAAAAAAAAAGCGAAAAAAAAAAACAAAAAAGAAATAACAGAAGACAAAACAAGAAACGAACGAAGCTATAAACTTTAGACTTTGTGTGCTGTTAACTCTGCATTATATTACCGACACATTTTCAAGCTACTAGCTAAACCAGTTACAACCAGTTTCTGTGCCTCACTCACCAACCATTACCGCTACTCATCTAACTTAAGTCGGCTCGTCATGTCTGCTAGTTGACTACACATATATATATATATATATATATATATATATACGTGTATCGTTATGTACAAAAACGTTATGTTAACAAAGAAATTGCACATTACATGCACATGCATACAAATGCACATAACATATACTATATGAGTATGTATGGTGTGTACGGGGAAAAAAAAACTCAAAATACTGGCAATGTGTAGAAGAGTAGAGTAACAGCACCAGTAGTAGACGACGTAAATTGCATTCGACATAATGCGTTTTGTGCTTTGAGTCGAGCCGAGTCAACTGAAATCAAGATAGTCATTGACATTTTCGTATTTTTCTTTTACTTTTCTCATTCTTCTCTACTTCTAGTTAACTCTCTCTGTATGTGAAAGTAGTGAAAATTGTACTGTACACGGTTTACCAGGGTAATTAAATGTCAAGATGTTTTGACTGCAGCGAGACCCAAAGTACATTTAAATGACGCTAATTTAACAGAGTGTTGTTGTTGTTGTTGTTGTTGCCATTGTTGTTGTTGTTGTTCTTGTTCTTGTTTGGATTTCGAAATAGGAGAAAAGAAAAACATTCCACGTTTAAATAAACAGTTGTAGTGCATATTGTATAAGAAAAATTAACTTAAAATTTAAACGAAAATTTATTTTTTTAAATCACTTTTAAAAAAAATAAATTTAAACGACCAGATGAATAGATGAAATAATATTAGGTTTATAAACAAATTAGAATCACTTCAATTATCCGCTTATCATTTGAATCGTTTACATGGCAAGGCGATTAAGTTATTGGTGTCCAGCATTTCAAATAATTTTCTTTAATAATCAGGCTTAAGATATATAACAACAATTTCTATGACCTTTAAATAATGCATGTTTCTCTTTTCTACAAACATGAAAGAGAGAGAGAGAGAGAGAGAGAGAGAGAGAGAGAGAGAGAGAGATTTATAAAAAGTTATCAATATATATTTTCTGTTTCATTCTTTTACCGTGTTCTAGGCATTTTAAGCCGTGATATACAAGCCCTCCGTTCTATATGACCCATGGGTGCTCTTCATTTTCATTCCATAATGTTTTTCAGGCAAGTAAGTTTGTTTGCTAGTTAGTACTGCCGGCAGAGCAGTAGCAGAATGAAGTTGCTAGTATTTTGAAAGAGATCTTAATTAACAACTGTGATATGGACTTGTAGGCTTGTAGGTTTTGCAAAAGTCTAAATGAGCTGTTGATTGCTATAAATGTCTTAGGGCTGATGGTTACTTCCGTGGATGATTTTCAGCTGAAGCATTTCATGCCTTTTAATGCCTTAAGACTTATGTGAAACGGGAACGGCAAATACTTCCCACAGAAGATGACCGAATTACCAAGCGTCCTGATTTATTCGTACTCGATTTTTCCTTTACTCTTTATATATCGCCCTTTTATTTGCTTTTATCATAAATAATTTCAATCATTAAAAAAATGTTCAATTTTTCATATTGATAGCTTAAAAGGACCTACGCCAACTATAAATATTATCTTGATATCGTCAAAAATCCCAGATGAGATAAAAAGATAATTATGGTTGTGGCAAAAAATTCATTGAGCACTGGAAACTTTAAACGCATGCTTCCCAAAGTACGGCCTATAGCGAAGTTACTTTATACTTTAATCAAGTCAATGTTTCAACTATGTTTTTTATTAATAAAAGGGCTCCTATTTCTTGCTCGACGTTTCGCCACTTCCACTCAGGCACTCACCATTCACTCACACGAAAGCAATATATTGAAAAAACCTTATGTATGTCTATAGAAATGTAGAGCGTCAGAGCGTCTTTGCATCGCTAGAATGGCTCCAACTTTGTCATTGTTTTAATGTTTTGCTGAGATCTTTTTTTCCCTCCTACTTGGAACTATGCTTAATGAATTCCTCAAAGGTTATTGTTCTATTACCTTTTCTTTCATCCCCAAAAAAAAAGTTGCCAAAAAACTCTGTTTCTTTTCGATTGCCACACAGTGCGTGCCAAACATAATCAAGCGCACCTTTGCTTTGTTTTCGATTAAGTTGACACAATGGCTCAACATTTATTGATAAAACATTTAAAGATATTTGTAAATCTTGCTTTCGCCCTTAAGCTATCACTTTAGGTATCACTTCTTATGCGATATCACTTGCAGAAAATATGTGATAAAGTATTAAAGCGAAATCCCTTATAGCAGTAAGTTAAGAAAAAAAAATAAGCAAGAAATTATGTTTAAAAGAATTTTGAATAAAACCGAAGAGATTTTTCAATTAATTCCAGATTAACCTATGGAATGCATACAATATTTGCGGGCTTATCAAGACTTAGAATTAAATCTCTTATGCAATTATTATATATTTCTTAAACATATATGCAAACGCTTGATAGCTTATAGAATTGTAAAATAGATATCTAACTTGAAATATTTCCAAAGACATGCAATGAATGCATAGCAACATAAGAATAGCTGTTAAAAATTTTGTAAATTCTC